TTTCAATTTTATCCTATCTATCTAAATTTCTGGAAGCCTGCGTTCACAAGCAAACCTCTAGTTTCATTGCAAAACATAACCTGCTAAATAAATATCAATCAGGCTTTCGCATAGGTCACAGTAGGTACTACCACTGTCTTTATAAAAGTTACTAATGTCATTAGAAAGGGTATGGATAAGCAGAAGCGTACTATGGTAGTGCTTGTTAATTTTTCAAATGCTTTTAACGCAGTCGACCACGAACCACGATATCCTTACCTTCCTAACTAATCTTAGATTCTCAATCTCAGATTTGGAATGGCTTTTACCCTATCATCGTGGCCGCTAGCAATAAATACGGTTAGGATTAGAGTTCAATGTAGGCTGACATTGAAACAGGCCAGCCCCAAGGCCGAACTTCTACTTGCTCCTATTATGTTTTCTAAATTTTATGATCTTCAGCTCTACGTGCTAAGTGCTAACGAACTGAATGATTACTTATATTAATAAAGTTAACCACAGTTAAACTTAATGCCATTAGAGAATGTTCGTACAGACATGGTCTTTCGGTTAAGCCTTCCAAATTTAAGGTATCGGTTATTGGTGCAGTATGTTAGCTAAGATAGATAACAGCTATCTTTCTGCTATATTTTACAACGAAACTCTGCTGCTATTTTGCAACTCTGTCAAAAATCTTGGCTTACATATACATAGACCATACTTTAAGGTGTGGAGTTTTGTAAGGTTACTGCCACCTTCTTTCTCTTTGTCTTTAAAAACTTACCGCCTTTCAAAAATAAGCTCTTACTCATCCAGTCTTTGATATTATTGATTATGCGAATACCATACCCAGATACGCCACATTATACCTACTATTTATATCGATGCTTCTATATAAGTTGGAGCGCCTTCTCAACAATAATTACATTAGACTCATTTTCTACTTAGATAAGTATTAGCATGTTTCCCAGTAGGTACGGTTCTAAGCTTAAATGGCTTTCTATTAGTCAAAAACGTAGCTCCCAATAATAAATAATGGTATATTAATATTAAATAACCCAAATTCTCCTTTCAAGATAGAATTCTCCGTTCCTAAAATATCGTTTTTATAAAAGTGCAGTCTCAAAAAAATGTTTCACGTAACTCAGTTACAAATAATAGGTAATAATAATAATTTTATTTAATTATTCAGGTAAGTACACCCATTTTGTTAGTACACTTAAAACTTAAAAACTAGGGGTTAGTAAATTCACAAAATACATAAATTATAACTACACAAAAATTATTATTTATTATTAAACATATTGGGTCTGGGACCCATATGCACTGTGTTCCAGTACCTCATCACCGGGCAATCTTGCCTTCCATATATGGAAGCTATGAGGCCGTTGGTGCTGTCTCGCACGCGACGCATTACGGAGGCTATTCTTCTGCGTAATATTGCTGCAAAACTGTCCACGCGTGCCTCAGCAAATATACGCGATGCGCTGCAAAAGCGTGGCAGCCCCAACAACATCCTGAATCCATTGTTGTACTGAACACGTAGCGCATTGAGAATTCGGCGAGTACACTTCGTCCACAGGCTACAGGTGTAGAATTTATGACAGTAAGCTTTGAATAACGTTATCTTAACTTCATTGATCAAGGGCAAGCATATTACACCTCACTGCCAACGCTCTACGTTCCCGTTCAACGTCTAAATTGTCAGAAAGATCCTCGGCGACCCAGTGTCCCAGATATCTGAATTTGGTGACTCTACTCAGTGTAACTCCCCCAAGTTTAACATTGCGGAACAGACTTAGGTTTTCTATTTCCAGCCTTAAACACGAGTAGTTCACTCTTATTTTGACCATGAGCCGCCGTGTACCTTTCGCAGATGTCCACTAGCGTTTCGAGGGCCCTGATCGAAGGACTCAGCAAAACCATGTCATCGGCATAGCTTATATTATTAACAAAATGACCGTCAATTGCGCAGCCGACTCGGCATCACTGAGCTCCACGATCAGACCGTTGATGTACAGGTTGAAAAGTTGAGGGGAGCTAAGGCCGCCCTGCCTCACCCCGCACTCCAACCTGTACTCCGACGAATATGAGCCAGCCCACTTCATACAGTTAGCTTGGTTGTGATACCAATCATTGAAGAGGTTAATTACTTATTTGGGTGTGCTAGTTTCCTGGTTAAGTTTGTCCCATAGCACATTGTACGAAACCAGGTCAAATGCCTTCGACAGGTCCAAGAAACACGCGTGCTTGTGTCGCAGTATGGCAGTTTCAGTTGAAAGCCCCGGCCTGAAACCAAACTGAGTCTCATGTAGGTGAATGTGTTGGCTGAGTTGCTGATCAAGCAAACTGTCCAGTACCTTCGCAACTACGGTAGCCAAAGATATTGGGCGATAATTGGACGCACCGGAGGCATCACTAGTCTTATTTTTTAATATTGGTACAACCATGGTTTTATAAGCTCTCCAGGTAAGTACGCATGTCCTAGACATATATTAAACAATAGAGTTAACACCCTTGGCAAGTGCACACCCGCGTGTTGCAAGTGCACAATGCTGAAAATATAGCTATAGAGAATATAGCTATAGAGAATAAGAGAAGAAATAATTAATAAATTCTATTTTTATGACGTTAATTTAGAAAATACATTAATCAGTATTTTTTAGAAAACAAGATCTTAAAAATATGAAAGCGTCAAGTGTCTCATCGTGTAGACGTAATCTTATTTTATTACAGAACATGCTAGCTAACGAAAAAGCTCTTTTAGACCCAACACTGGTCGGCAATATGGAAAGCAACCAGTTCAGAATTTTTTTTAGGATTTCTCTACGACCTCCACCGTTTTCAAATTAATCCATTTCAACGTGAATCAGTTGCGCTAATTACACTCGTTGACTGGTGTTGATGATCGCTACCCACACTTGCAAGAGAAAGTTGACGATTAAGCTTTTCTTTAAAACTAAGCGGCGATGGATCATAACTATCACACAGAGTTTCTGAAATAGAGTTCGTATTAGTCGACGTGGTCGTGTAATGGTCAACATCCAGAGATGCAGGTAGATATTTGATCACATTTTTAATTTCATCGTACCTACGTAGGTTTTTTAAATCTATCTTCGTCTTTCTCAGTCTCATTTAAAAATTGATTAGGATTGGGTATAACGCCCCCGCAATCCCCTTAGTGAGTGGAATTTCGTAAAATTCTTTCTGTCGAACTCAAGATGACAAAACAGAAACAGAAACATAACTTAGTTTTATACCTATAAGAGCTATAGTTTGATAATGTAATTTTTTTTGTTTAATGTAAAATAAGTTCTTAGCTGACCTCTATTCGGCGAAAGGAATATTCCTACCAAATTTCAAGTCTCTAGGCCGTATAGTTCCAGAGGATATCGTGATGAGTCAGTTCTTAGGCGGAAATCTCTTATATATATAGATATACTATAGTACTATTATTTATTCTACGACTATCAATGGTATTGTAAGAAAAAAAAAGATCATTAATGACTTTAATATTATGGACTTGGACACTAATTCGAAACAGTACGTTTCGTTATCAGTTAAGTTTTTGGAGAGAGTCTATAGATGGCGTACATAAGTAACTAAAAACAGTTGTGTATGGTTGTACTGATAGATGGCGCTTATTAGATATTGTTTTAATCCTTGTGTTTAGAATTTAGTGAAATAAAGTTAACTCTACAAACTGCTAAGGCTAAGGCATTTAGCATCTAAATATGCATTATTTAACATAATGGTGATAAATATTACTTGCAAAACAAAATATCGAATTTTATTATTAGGTAGAGTATAGATAGGTACTACCTATTAGTACGGTTAGACAAATATAATTTTTTTTCATGTCCAATTCTTATTATTTAAACTTGTATAGATAATTGATCTAAATAATAAATCAATGATATAGACATTTCATTTTTCATCAAAATTCTTATTAAATAATAATATATAACAATACCGGACAGTATTAGGTAGGTAGTTACGTCATGTTTGGAAGTTTGAAAATTGAATTCAAAATTCTATAGTTCAGGACATAAATGTTTAACAAAAACTTTAATGGGAAATTCATTTGGGTAGGTAGGTAAAACATAAAGACACCATAATACAATAAATAACAATTAGTTCTAATGTAATAAAATAAAAAGATATGGTATATACTCTGTAAGTAGTCATATTATTATTGGAAAGAGTTACTTTCACCCTAATGCCAATAGTGTCGGATTATAAGGGTGGATAAGGGAAGCCATTGGGGTTGTAGGGGGAGACCCTACAACTGTGCAATAGTAAAAATACCCTTTATGAGAACAATTACTAATAAAATTAAAATAGTATCTATACCTGCTTCAGTTTTTTGAATACTTTTTGTAAATCAGAAAGAAACAGTTTCGTTTAATTGATTCGATTAGTTGAAAATAATGACGAATTGTAAATACTTTTACTTTATTTATACGAAAACTACAGGCATCTGGAAAGAAAAGGTATGTTAGAGGATGGCGCGACAAGCTAATATTTTAGAAATTCTGTCTCACTAATAATCACATGTAAGAGGGAGATAGGACGAAAGTAATAATAATAATGCAGAAACGCTAATTTCGTCCCTCGCGCCCTTTCGTGCCGTTCTTGGCAAACCGGTTTTGTTTGTAGAACGTTCATAAACGAAGCGGCCAATGAGAATGCAGGGTTCTCAGCGGGCGTACCATTGGCGACGGACGATAGAGAGCGTTATAATGCGGGGGGTGACGGGCATGGGTGCGGCGCGACGGAGGTAGCGCTCGCTCACCGTGCAGTCGTGTTTCGCCACTCGAAAAGAAGGTTATTGATACAATGAGACGGGCACCGGACTATCGATAAAGTGTGTTTGTATGTCGTTTTCGTCGATAATAAGTGTTGTGTTTACTTTCCCCCGTGCGAATGTCTCGATCCTTACCTTTTTGTTTGTTTTTTTCTTTTAATCATTGCCGCATGGGTCGGCGCTTACGTTTCAGTTAACCCTTTATTTTGAAACGATGGAACGTTGTTCTTATGGTTTTTACACCAAAAGGTATTTTATGTTATTTTTTTACTTTAATGTTGCGAATTAGTGTGGTTGAGTGCATCGCGTGTGGCTATAGAAGGTGGGCTGACTGAGATGATCATCATCGTTATGGATCGTGACCGTTCATTTGCGCCTACATTGGCAAATCTACTTCGATATCCACTCTTATAACGAGTATTCGCGAAAAGAAACTTATATATTATACCATGTTATATTATATATATATATATATATATATATATACATAGTATTTTTACATCATACCAGCAAACTAAAAAAAAACTGCACAGTTTGTTACCCTTAATGTACAAAGCACGTACCTAGGAGCTTTGTTATGCGTTTAATAAGGGGAGTTGGTTAGTATTATTATTGCAACGCTTCGGGGAAAAGCCGACAATGTGAGGCCCTCGTACCCGAGGGTCGGCAGGCGTGGGGAGGGAGGGCGCCAACTGTCTGCACACATGCAGAACCGGTTTGCTCTCCAACTCCCCTAGTGCGCTTTGACACTCTCTTTCTTTGCCACACGTGTTCGCATTATGCCCTCTTACTCGCACGTTTCCATTATTTTTTTGCTTCCCCCCTTGTGAAATAATGCCAGACAGGCCGTTTTTGTTTAGGTATCTGTGCCTAAAATAGGTGTCTATCGTTATTATTTAAGTAGAGGAAATGGTAAGTGTTCCAGAAACAAAACACGGGAATGGAATGTTGTAACTAATGCTCCTTTATATTAATAATTAACAATGTTTGTAAAATTGTCGGAAGTATAATAAATAAATAGCATGAATAATTTTTTTTCCTAATAAAATTTTCCCTTCTACACACCTCTTCGGTATGATATTTTGAATAATCAACAGAGCTTTTTAATTTAAACGCTGTCGGTTTTCATTTTCTGTTTTATTCATTTAAACGAAACGTAATTATTCTAAGACCATAGATATTCTGTGGTAATTTTATCCAGATAGACATAATGGAGAGAAAGTACATCACTAAAATTACGTTTCGTTCTATTAACGAAGATACCAATAGTGCACCAAAGTTAAGGTGCACTATTAAATATATACAGATACATATAGTATCTTCATGTAATGGATAGTGAAAAATAACTTAGAATAATTTATTTTTTCAATATTTAATTAAAAATGCAATAGTTTAATTTACTTATTAGGGATCATTTTGTAAATATAATAATTCTGCACGTGAGTTAAGTGCTATAGGAATGTTTTTCTACAGAAAAGTCTTAACATGTCATTATGTCATTATTTGACATTGACACAGACAGTTACTAGTTAAAAAGTGAAACGAACGAAAGTACATTGTAAAAGTAATTTAATGATAATTGTAATCTAAAGATATTTTTTGAACAACTATATAATTCATTGTGATATATATGTAACGTAAAAATGAAAAAACCTTTACAAGTAGCGTTTTTTGCCAATTAAAACCTTTCAATTTAAAGCAAACTAATGGCATTATCATTATATCCAGTAACAAATATTTAAATTATGGCCGATGAAGTTAACAATGTCAGTTCCAAACAATTTTTAAATGCATTCTCATGGTATTTCTTTGTTTAAAATAAGAAAATTATTCCATTACAGGTCTGAAATCCTAGATAATATAAAGAAAAAAGAACAAGAAAAGGATCAGCCACAAAGTCCTAATTTTCAACAGCAGCAATTGACAAAGACAGACAAACAATTACACAGTTCGGAAGCGCAGAATGTCAATGTTCCGGTGACACAGCATGTTCCTACTCAGATTCTGTCACCATCACATGGCTCAGGCCCAGCCGTCCAATCAAAAGAAGACTCCAAAGATAAGACAATAAAGGTTGCTAATTCCACTACAATAACTTTGATTGAAAACGGCAATCACAACAGTGAAAAAGATAAAGACAATAATTATCCTAAAAATTATTTTACATTAGAGCCCAAAAATGACAAGAAAGATGAATGTAACAAAAATAGTATCACAATAACTAGAACTGTGCCAAAACAATCTCCAGGGAGTGGGCAAGTTGATAAATCTAAAGGTCAGTCAAAATCTACTAAGAGACCACTTCAATGCTTAGAGACCCTTGCAGAGAAAGCTGGTATCACATTTGAGGATAAATACGAAGCGGCAAACACACTTTTAGCATTAGACAAACAAAATAATACATACAGAAGACCTGAACTAAAACAGCCTAAAACAGAACCAGAAAGTCAGCCTCAAGCTGAAGAGTATCGTTACAGAAACCAAAAAGATGAAGATGATAAGTTACAGGTAAATTTTGCACATGCTATAAAAAATGAAAGAAAATTGCAGTTATTTAATTTTAAACTATTTGATGGTGTATGTAGTATTATTCTTATAATAAGTTTATTTAGTATTATATGTTTAGAATATCACATAATTAATCAATGATAACACAATAATGATAATGAAATCCTTAATTTCTTTTTAAGGTTCTGTTGTGTAAAGAAACCCATTAATTTCAATCTGTCCCAGATATTAGTTATAAATTCTTAATGTATAACTTGCACATGTCAATGTTGCGCAATAGTAAAAATGATATTTAATTTTAAATTGATGGTGTATGAAGTATTATTCTTATAATAAGTTTATTTAATATTATATGTTTAAATTATCACAGTATTAATCAAAGATAATGAAATCCTTAACTTCTTTTTTAAGGTTCCCTTATGTCAAGAAACTTATGTTAATTTCAATGTGTCCATCGGTCCCAGATATCAATTATAATTCACAGGAATTATTATACATGAATTGTCACAATGTTTTCTTTCACTGCCAACTACCTGATAATTCAGCGATTATTAATTTCATTAGTGGCGGCATGGTTTTAACGGTGATTTCCATTCTTTATTATATATGAATTGTCACAATGTTCTCTTTCACTGCCGATTACCTGATAATTCTGCGATTATTAATTTCATTAGTGACGGCAGGGTTTTAACCGGGATTTCCATTCTTTATTAAATCTGGGATCACTCTTGACCTCCGTTCTCAGCGATTTCTTACATTTTTCAGTTTTCATCATTTGATGATGGATTGATGAGGGAAACAAATAGCTTTTAACGGCTGTGAAATTTAATAAAGAAAATGTATAATAATTCTTTGGTGTGTTATGTGTAATAGTAAAAAATGTGAGAATAAGTCTACTATTACACCTCTTATTTGGTAGGATGCTGCAGAAAAAAATGTGAATCTAGGTTAATAGATTCAATGTTAATTCAAAGAAAGACAATAGCACAACAAGAATTTCTTCCATTCTACACTTTGCTTTATCATTCTCAGCTTTTTCTAGTCTATTGCTGAATATAAGCTGTTCTAAGAATGTTCCTATTGTCCTGCGTTTTCATGGACTGTTTTCCAATATGATGCAAATTTTGGAAGTGCTAGAGCCATGCCGCAGCTCAAATAGTTGTAGTATCGCAGAATACCAGCGTGAAATAGTAGCTTAATGCTGCTGTATTTCGTATGGTGAGTGTAGAGAACCGGAGACCCTTTTTACTGGAAACGAGGCATTCCATCTCAGTCCTCACGGGTGACAACGCATCTGCATTTTGATTTTTAATGGAGGATAGATGTAGATGTCTATGGGCCGCAGCAACCACTTACCATCAGGTGGACTGTGTGCTCGTTTGTCACCCTATTCTATAAAAAAAAAAAAGTACCAATGGGTTATTCCACCAGGGTAGGGCCACACTCTCACAGAATACCTGCATAAAATGGCAGCTTAGGGGTGCTGTGTTTCGAATGGTGAATGTAGAGAACCAGTGACCCTTTTAGTGGAAATGAAGCCTTCCATTTTAGTCCTCAGGGGTGACAACACATCTACATTTGGTTCTTATTTGAGGATAAAAGTAGATGTCTATGGGCCACAGCATACACTTACCACCAGGCGGACTGTATGCTCATTTGGTACCCCTATTTCATAAAGAATTGAGAATATTGTTCTCAGTTTGCATATAATATTGTCTCTTTATCAACATGAATCCGATATCATTGTATTGCCATAGTCTATCCCCATTACTACTATCTTGTATTTGATCTTATTCACTTTATTTTCTGCTACCAGTTGACAGTAAAACCAACTTCATTTGTCAGACACCAAACAATCAGATGATGCAACATTCAAATCTGGTACCTATAAGAGAGGTTGCTATTTGAAGAAGTTTGCTCATCCCCCATACAATTTTTAGTTTTGGTGAAATATAGAGGAGTAAGATATGTGTAAATCAACAGATACAACAGCAGATAATTCATCAGCAGCAGCAACAACAGCAACAGCAACAGTTGCAGCAGCTACAACAACAACAACAGTTGCAGCAGTTGCAGCAACAACAGCTGCAACAGCTGCAACAACAAGCGCTGCAGCGACAGCATCACGCCATCCAGCAGCACATTAAAAACCAACAGGATCAAGAATTGGTAAGAATACACTTTACCCTTCCTACCCAGAGGCCTTTTAAGGAACTTGCCAGCTTGCTTAGTTTTATTTCCCATATTCGTGATTACATTACATTAGCAAAGATCTTTTGAATAAATATATATATATGTGTGTGTGTGTGCGTGTGTGTACCCTGAAGGACAAATCAGACTTCATTATGTATGTCAAATTTAGTAAATTAAATAACACAATAGAAAGCTTACATTTAAAAAAATTGACACCATTAAAAAAATATGCAATAACTTTACATTAAGAAATAATTGTGTACAAACAAATGTACATACAAATGTACATACATACTAAAATAATTAAAAAATTGTAAATCAATCAATTTAAGAGCGTTGTCAAGAAGCAATAATGCTCTGTGACAGAAATTCGGTCTGGAGAATATTATACATTTTTTATATTTTTGTTTCCCCGGCACCGGCTGTGCCGTTGAATGGAAAAGCGCCCATTGTCTGCTCATGGAAACCGGGATTTTGCAGAAATATTGTCCCAGATAAAGAATGATAAAAGTGCAATTCAAGCAGATGAATGTTTACTAATTTTGATATTAATCGTGTTTCTCACTTAAGACATAAGTACGATTAAAATATAATAATAAATAAACGTTATAAAATAGTTTCTCACTTAAGACATAAGTGCGATTAAAATATAATAATAAATAAACGTTATAAAATAAATATAATATTTACTTGTGAAATGAAACGACAAACTCTAAATCCATTGAATAGTGCTTTTTTTAAACAAATGACACTACATATGAACTGCACCCGGGCAAAGCCCTGGCTTGCTATCATTTTATATTAATTAGAACAAAACTGATTTATTCTAGAGCCAATACAAAATTCGAAGATTTTGACATATCTCTCTCTTGGACAAACCTCATGCCTAAACAGAAGAAATTCTTAAAGGCTGTTATAACATTGAAGATTCTAACACTAACTACTTTATTCTTTGTGTTGGGGAAAATGACACGAATGTCACAAAGATATTCTTTGAAACAGCTGCTGTAATAAAAACACTAAAAAACTCAAACTTTATTATACTTAATACTAATTACAATAAATATTTAAATGAATATAAATTAAATAATATGTTAAAAAACTTGTGCTATAACATTCCAAATTGTAATTTTATTGAATGCACAAACAGATCTAGGACGGAATATCACGCAAATATTTGTGCAAAGATTAATCTAAGATTAGACTCTACATATTACGAAAAGCATTTTATTTAAAATATTAAAACTATTATTAAAAATCGCATTAATACATCTGATACGATGCACAGTATGGGAAAATCCCAAGAAATAATTATGTTAGCTAATGAAAGCAAAACAGCTGAACCTAAAATTGGCACCATACCATATTATTTCAAAAAGGTTAATAAATTAAATAAGACCTTAACTGTTGAAAAAAGCACAAACGTAAATGTGTCCACGACTCCATTTTTTCATACGCAATAATAACCAAAAACATGAAATTGCTTCCATACTACATCAAAACTTAGCTGGTTTGCTTAACAAAATTGATTCGATAGAACTATGTATTGATGGACTAACAAATGAGGGGCAAGAAATAAACTTTTTATGATTTAGTGAACATTTGTTAAAAAGGGAGTAACATTCAGTTTAAAAATTTTAAATTAGCTTCATTATATTGTAGAACAAAAGAAAAACGTGGAGGTGTATGTATTTTTATTAGAAAGTCAATAGAATTTAAAGCTATACAATTATGCTATGAATTATCTGCAGACAAAATTTTTGAGTGTTGCTGAATAGAGGTACCAAGTTACAAATGTGTAATTTTTTTGTGTATATAGAACTCCCAATTCGCCTGTATCAATATTTTTCAACAAACTAGATCTTCTTTTTCATAAATTGTCATTTAAGCTTAATAATAAGAAAGTCATATTGTGTGGTGACTTTAATATTGACACACTTAAGAATAATAACGTCACTCATGACTTAAAAAAATTATTATGCAGCTACAATCTTAAACTACATAATGATAAACCTACGAGACATCACACATGTATTGATCATATAGCTAGGAATTTCAAAGAGTCTGATATTTCTAGTTCCCTGTACAATTTTCATTTATCAGATCGTAACACCTGTCAATCTCTAAGGTTTCTAATTAAACTGCTACCTAAAATTAAATACTGGTATACTACGAAAAGAAATTACTCTAAGGAAAATATTGATAAGTTTCGTAAATGCATTCGAAATATTTCGTGGGAAAAAGAAACTACAGATGACATTTTTAATAACATTTTTAATAAATTTCATGACTTAATTTGTTTATTATATGACCTCTGTTTTCCATTACAAAAATATAAAATCAAAACAGACAATCTCGCTCCAAAGTGGATCACAAAGGGTATAAGGGTTGCAAGTAAAACTAAAAGAAAACTAAAACATAAATATTACAAAACAAAAAGTTATTAATCTATACAAATTAATCTATAACAAATATTCAAAATTATTAAAAAGTTGCGTAACATGGTCGAATTTTTTTTTAACATGAAACACCTGTTACATTCAAAAAGTAAAAGTAAAGCTACCTGGGAAATCATTAAAAATTATGAATATAGTGATACACGAAATAATAATATTGACTGGATTAATTGCAATGGAACTAAAATAGATCATCCTTTCGTCATTGCCAGTAAATTTAATGAGTATTTTATTAGTACAGCTCTTCACGGCCGTTCTTCTTTAAATAATAATACTAATAGGAATATGAATGAAAATGTTCAATCATCGATCTTTTTAAAACCTTGCACATTAAATGAAATCATAAGTATAATAAATTCTCTTAATAATGCTAAATCTGTTAGTTATGATTCTATTACTACACATATACTGAAATCATGTGTGAAAGAATTTGCACCAATTCTGACGTACTTAATAAACCTTTCTTTCATACATGGAAGATTTCCAGATAAATTAAAAACATCTATAGTCAAACCCTTATTTAAAAACGATGACCGTCATGAGATTCATAACTATAGGCCGATCATGTTGATACCCATTCTATCCAAAATATTTGAAAAAGCCATGTATAGTCGAATTATTAGTTTTGTTGCAAAATATAATATAATCAGAAACAAACAAAATGGCTTTCAAAAGCATAAATCTACTACACTTGCTACCTTTTCACTGATACGTCGAATAACTGAATGTATTCATAATAGAGTACCAACAGTAGGCATCTTTTTTGTATATCTTATTTATATGTCCAAAGCCTTTGACTGTCTAGAACACAGCAAGTTGTTGTACAAATGTGAAAAACTAGGAATCAGAGGACCGGCTTTAGAATGTATCGAAAGTTATTTGAAAAATCGGAAACAATGTGTTGAAGTATCACGTATTAATAATAAACTAGAGTTAGCATATTACAGATCGCCTTATCTACAAAATGACTATGGGGTACCTCAAGGGAGTGTCTTAGGCCCTTTATTGTTCATTCTATACATAAACGACTTACCGAGTATAACAAATCATCAGTCAATACTATTTGCTGATGACATATCAATTGTTATATCCCACACTAATAAGTTACAGATATATGAACAAGAAATAAATTCTACTATAGAGTCAGTTATATCATGGCTAGAAGATAATAATTTACGAGTCAACACTAACAAAACTAGGAATATATTCAATTTGGAAATTATAAAACAAAACCACAAAAATTGGACTTAAGATATAAGGACGAAAGATTAGTAGAGGTAGTTGATACACAATTCCTAGGTGTTACTATTGACCGGTATGTAAATTGGAAATTACACGTACAAAAAGTATGCAAAAGAGTTAATCAATTTGTTTATGCGTTACGTAAACTTCAAAATGTAGCAGGTTCACAAGCAGCACGTATTGTTTACTACGGGTACGTTGAATCCGTCTTAAGATATGGACTACTCTTGTGGGGCAACTCAACTGACGCAAACAAAGCCTTCCTAAGTCAGAAGAAATGTATTCGTGCACTGTGTAATGTAAGCCTTCTTGAAAGCTGTAGACCCCTGTTCAAGGAAAAAAGTATTCTCACTTTAACTGGTTTATATATATTGGAAATCTGTGTTTTCATTAGAAATAATTCTAATCAATTTGTTACTGTGCAAGAAAATAATAACTATCTAGCAAAAAGAGATCCGACACGTCTACTCATGCCATCTTGTAAAACTACATTATTCCAGAGGAATTGCCTCATGATGTGTATCAAGGTTTATAATAAAGTTCCTAAAAATATTCGTGAACAACCATTAAGGCGAATGAAAAAAAGTTTAAAGCAGTGGCTAATAAATACTGCCTTTTATTATATCAAAGAATTCTTTAACCATAAATTTTGATTTTAATTTTATTGATTTTGATTAACTAAGTAAATTACTATAGATCCAGGATTTTGCGTGATTTGTTATGGTTTCCTAAAAACATAAATATAAATTGTTTATGAAAGAAAAAGAAAATTTATAAAAGTGTTTATTTCTAATTTAATTTTTTAATTTTAGTTTGTTTTTAACATATTTATTTTAAACAATTTTTACGCATGCCACAAAAGGCAAAACATGTGGAAACAAATGTTGACTCTGTATCCATCCGTCTTTACCCATGTTTTAGCGAAATAAATGATTTGATTTGATTAGAAAAACCAAAATATCTTTATATAATCTGTATAAAATTAAAAATTCCAGCACTGACACATTGTTTGTCAACAATGTGTCAGTGCTGCATTAAAAAAAACTTATTTAATTATGGATCCTAAGGATAAGTTAGCACTCGCCACCATCTCTATTGAAATTTACACAATGCGAAATTTAAGCTGCACTTTAAACATTATCGAAAGACTGAATTTCCAGGACCGATATCTTGCTTGATAGTATTGGTATCCAAAACAGTTATTACTATAAAAAAAATTAAGTCGAGAATCTCGATTCCCGAAGTAGATGAACTACTTACATGTACGTTTATAATTAACACTCATGGCGCTGGACGTCCTACTCATAAGTTGTCTGCTTTTTTTCTAATTCTAATTAAAAATGACTTTATTACATAAGGCCGGTGTGGATTTGAATAGTCCACTTTTATTTTCAGAATATCAACCTCAACTCTATGTTGTGATTATTGATGGAAAATCCATTAAAATATTTTTAATGGGTTTTGCGTTTTGCACACCGCACACTGATAGTGAGGCAGTTTTACTAGTGAGAGGGTATGAATTCTGTGCTCACTAACCCCTTTATTGCACAGCATGGTGAATATGAGCAACTGTTCTAAGCTAGCTACTAGGGTAATATTCTTGAAAAGTCCTACTTCCAGCAATAACCTTAAGAAGGTTGTTTATTCTTTCGACTATTTCGCGAGGAGAGTAAAGGATCATAATATGATCATACTATTTATATATAGTTCAAACCTAATGTTTATTTCTAAAATAAATTAAACGCAAAAGCATAATGACTAGAAACCACGTATTTGGTGAATATATATATTTGTGTACTTATGCATATAATATACTCATTAACAAATTTAGAGGTTTTTTTTGTTACAATTTAGTTTAGGAATTTGTATTTTGCCTACTATTCGTTCATTTCAAATTGCAAACGTCGAAAAAGCACACCATTCAATGATCAAAATTAACCAAATTTAGAAAAAACGAAAATTTTTACAGGAATGAAACATTTTTGTACTTCACATTTTATTAATTTTTTCATAAATGCTTAGAAAAGGCTATAATGTGGGCTATAACCAGTACTTAGTGTTGCCTCGCTTTTTTGTACTGCTTCCAGTCTCCTTTGCATTTTCCTAATCAAGTTATCATTAAAATCTTGAGGAATTGCATTCCATTCTTCTTGTAATGCGTTTGTAAGATCTCTCAAATTAGCGGAGGCAGGATTTATTTTCTTAATTTGTCTTTCAAGATTATCCCATACCATGCTCTATGGGGTTCAAGTCGAACGGGTGAACGCGCTGGCCATCCCATACCATTTAATTTCAACATCTCCAAAGTATTCGACAACTACGGTAAAGAAACAAATCTATCTCCTATAAAAGGCGTTATGACACTACAATTTCCATTATCCAGATCCATTATCAATGACGCGGAGTTTAGTACGTGCCCCCTCAGCACCTATGGTAACCGTAAGTACCTCCTCATAGCACAACTGACCCTCCACCATAAGCCTGTTTTTCAATGATGTTGTACTGAGCGTACCTCGCTGTTGAGCATCCCCACACTTTAATCCTTCATTCGTCCGGCTTGATGCAAAATCTGTGGTCATTTCTGATTAGAACTTGACTCCAAGTTTCGTTATTCCAATTTTCGTAATTGCTAGCAAAATTAACTCGAGCTACTTTGGCATGTGGTAAGAAGAGGCAGTCAAGTGTGAATTTGTTTTGGCTAATTTCAGTCTTTTTTTCCACACTCGAACTTTTGTAGTTTCGTTATTACCTCAGTTAAGGTCCGGTTTCTAAACACGCTGGTATCAATGAATGGGTCATCTCTGGCTACATTCCGATACCTCTTGACAACTCGGTATACTACAGATTTTGATACACGTAATATTTGGGCCACATGTTTGTAGATGTGCATAGTTTTAATTAAAGTGACAGCCACAGACAACTTGAGTGGCGTTTAGATCTACCATTCTCAGTTTTTTTGCAGTAACAATTTAAAGAACGATAAACAAGGTAGTCAAGGAAAAAACTTAATGAAAACATAAATTTACACTGAAATTCAAAAGTTGGCAAAGTTTTTGCATAATATGAAGGAACACAATAATGTTACTAATGTTTGTGGCGATAATTACCACAGGAGAAATTAAACCATTTTTTTTTAGCTTTCCTCTCAATTGTCCATAATTGTGGTTATATATCATTGAAAAACACATTCTAAATAACAAAGATGGGACCAATGATCTGCAGACATCTCAGAACATCAGACAGCATAGTATGTAATAAACTGTAGGCAACGGTGTCAACCAAATGGTAATTATTGGGTGAGGTAGTGAATTCAGGGTGGTATTTCTTGCTAAGACCCAAACGTAAAGTATTCAATTTTTCGTGAATGTCTACAAATTTAAACTATGTACCAATAGCATATATCAACATTTTAAGTTCCAGCTTCTGTACGAAAACTTTCTCTGATTTACATTTCAATTTAGTTACAGAAACAGTATCAACAACAACAGCAGCAGCAACAGCAGCAGCAACAGCAACAGCAGCAGCAACAGCAGCAGCAACAACAACAGCAACAACAACATCAGCAGCAACAACAGCAGCAGCAACAACAACAACAGCAACAGAAAACTGAGTTACAGCAACAGCAAGTTGCTCAACAACAAGAGTTAGCTCAACAGAAGTTTCTACAGGTGCTTACTTTACATTTACGTCTTCTAAATCAGCATGTAGAATCGAGGGGCGGTTAAAAAGTTATGAGCCGAGGGTATTAAAAAGGCTGATAGAAAAGTATACAAAATTTATTTTTCTATGTAATCTGCCTCTTTTTTTATAGGATAGGGTGACAAACGAGCACACAGTCCACCTGATGGTAAGTGGTTGATGCTGCCCATAGACATCTACATCTATCCTCGATCACAAAACAAAATGCAGATGCGTTGTCACCCGTGAGGACTCAGATAGAATGCCTCGTTTCCAGTAAAAAGGGTCTCCGGTTCTCTACACTCACCATAAGAAACACAACAGCATTAAGCTGCTATTTTAGGCTGGTATTCTGTGAGGGTGTGGTCCTTCCCCGGTTGAGCCAAACCATTCGTGCTACAACTATACTACTAATATAACTGCCGCGTGGCTCTACCACGTAAAAGCTCTACTTCAATGCACTTCTTATTTTTTTGATAAAGGGCTTTTAAACCCAGTGAAAAAATATTTGTCGTCTTTGCCTTCTAAATGCTCGCCTACTGCTGCCCTCATTTCTTCGTTACACAAAAATCTTCGTCCGCGGAGGTCTTTCTTCAACTTAAAAACTAAGTAAAATCGCTGGGTACTAGGTGTGGTCCGGTGGGTGGGTGATTGCTTTCTTCAAATCCAGTTTTGTTCAGGGCACGCCCTGCAACTCGCGCAGTGTGTATGGGCACATTGTCCTGCAAAAACAGGACAGATGGCGTCTTCTTTTTTTGACAACCACTTAACGCACTTTATCAACAATGCAGCATATATAATAGTTCCCGTTCATTGTACTATTCTCAGGAAGGTAGTCAATAAAATTCCTTCACAGTCCCAAAAAACAGTGGCCATGACCTTGGATGCCAATCGCTCGAATTTGAATTTCCGTGGCGGTTTTTCTCCCTTTTCAATCTACTGCATTGACTGGATTGTACGGCTGGATCCATGTTTCATCAATAGTGACAATGGAGAAAAAAAATCATCAGGATTATCGCCACAGATGTCCAAAAACTCCTGCGAAGTTGTGACTCGACGCTGCTTGTCCAGCGGAGTAAGCATTTTTGGCACCCAACGTGCGCATACCTTTTGCATGTGCAAATGAGTGTGCAAAATATCGCCTATTCGTTCCTTGCTAATGCCTATGGCTTTATCTATCTGCCATAACTTGATTCGCCGATCTTTTAGACCAAATTTCTTTACTTTTTCTATATTTTCATTCTATCTTGACATTACCGAGGAGCAGCTTAATAAGCTTGAGTGCATTCAAAATTTATGCATTAAATTTATATTTGGGCTTCGCAAATATGATCATATCTCCGAATTTCGCAAACAGCTCAAATGGCTCCCGATCCGCCTTCGCAGGAATACTCACATTCTCTCCGCGTTGTATAGTGTGCTGTTTAATCCTTCTACTCCTCTTTATTTAAAAAACCGTTTCCAGTATCTTTCCCTAACCCATAATCGGTTCCTTTGATCCCGTCAATCTTTCTCTCTCTACACCTTTGCACTCTTCTTCCTTTTTCAAGAAATCCTTCACTGTAACCGCTGTGCGATTGTAGAACTCCTTACCTCTCCATATTCGTCGTGCTAAATCTCTTCACTCTTTCAAAATTCTTGTTAATTCGTATTATTTAGAACGCTATTAGATAAATTACTTTACCTTTCTCTTACTCTTTTCATTTAATCTATTATATATAACTTTCACTTACTTTTATTTGTATGTATTATTGTATTTTTTTTATTATTATTATTTTGTATGCCACCCTCTATTTGTAACTTTTGTTTGCATCATTCCTCACGCATAAAGGTTCTCGGGAAGAAATCACTTTCAGTGATAAGACCGCCTATTGTACATACTTTAATTAGTTTTAACTATATTGATGTTTCTGTATTGTGGTGTACAAAAAAGAATAAATAAATAAATAAATATTTTTTCGTAAACGGCAGTGTTTGGCCGCACTAGCCGGTGTCATCTTCTAGCAACTCCCTGCCATGCTTGAATTCGCGACTCCAACGTTTGACGATGGGAAATGAAGGTCCAGACTCCCCGTAAACTGTCGACATCTCTTCAAATTATGTCGGCGGTTTGTTCTTCTTTGTGAGGAATTGTGTGATAGCTCGGTAGTCCAATTTCGTACAATGCGCTGATGACTGAGACATGATGATGTTTACGGATTAATTTCTAAAAGCATAATGATGCTAAGGATGTGAAATTTTACGTATGCTAAGGAGGGTATTCGCAAATCAATAATATGCTGACTAATGACACTTGAATGTACTTAGGCTCAAAACTTTTCAGCCGCCCCGCGTAACACGATCCTGACAAACCTACCCTTACATCCATGCAATCAATATATTTACATTCTACACATACATCACGTTACTCTTTCCTTACTAAGTTTTTTATACATTCTAGCATTCTTTTTTTTTAAATCTTGGTCATAACATCTTTCAAACTACATTTTTCATTATGATTTCTTATATTTACGCGAACACTATACATTGATTAAAACTACTTTTACGGATTTTATCGCGTTTTATTTATTTTTAATACCCGACGTTTCAGGTGCTTTCCAGCACCCATGGTCACGGGGACTGAGGTGACTGACGTCCCGATGTCAAAGTTAACCCGGAGAACCTTCAGCTTTTTAATTATTGTCTTTAGTCCGATCTACGCAGAATGAACTGTGTTTGAAGTCTTGCAGTGGTATGCTTGGGTTTAGTTTTAATTTTATTAATTATAGGATCCCAAGAAGGTGGTAGTACCCAGCCTCCTTCTCTATTGAAATTAGGATGTTTTTTAATTTCAATAGCCTCACATATCAGACGTTTTTTCCTATCCTACTACCCTTGGTAGTAGGATAGGAAAAAACGTCTAGGTCCTAAAACGTCGGGTATTAAAAACAAATAAAACGCCATAAAATCCGTAAAAGTAGTTTTAATCAATACATTTTTCATTATCATTAAGGCACTCCTAAAACACATCTTAATAACCGCATTTTTACAGCATTAATTTTACTCTCATGTTTTTTCTTTAAACCAAACTTTCACTACTATACATTAAGGTCTCACACAGTATTGGGAATTGCCCTGTTTCCTGCAATCCTTTTATGTTTATGTTCTTGACATTTCTCTCCCTTCCAAAAATGCACACTCATTCACATGCTCAACCAACTCCTCTTGTTCTTATTGTACAGGTAGATTTACTTAATTCTCTTTCAAAAACCGTCAGTTTCATCTCACTTACGTTTACATTCATTCACCCTTTTTTAACAATATCAACATGGGAAAGCAGTATTGCTGTAACTAGACAAATTTTAATTAAAAACTTTTTCAAAGAATTATGTCTTAACTATTCAGAATAATGTCGCCAGTTTTAGATCACTAGTTTTTTTTTACCACCGGTAATACTTTTTATCCAAAGTTACTAAGAATATAGTTTGTCCACATAAAGCAGGAAAGTTTCACATCACTAACCTCAATAACGCTGTTACCAAGGAAGCGAAATGAATGTGTCAAAAGAAACTCTACAAAGTTACTGGCAGTAAAAATGCCGTAAGTCTTAATGTTTAGAATGAAACAGATTTTTTTTTCAGGTTTCTATTTCTTGTGCTTGGGAGAAAACTTGCATGTGTGAAAATATATTGAGGGTTACACATCCTCGATATATTCTCAATATACTTAACATTACAATCGAAAGAGTGTGGTTCGCATGATGATGTAGTGACTGATACGTAATACTTGGTAGAGCCATGCTGTAGTTATGTTAGTAGTATGATTGTAGCGCGAATGGGTGGGCTCAACCGGGGATGGACCACGCTCTCACAGAACACCAGCGTAAAATAGTA